ATGGGGTTTAGGGTGGGATTTTTCTATGTGGATCTTGGTGTGGGTCTTATGGTGGTTCCATCCTAGGGGTATTCCTATGGGTCTTTTGGTGAGGTTAGGGTTGAGGTATAGGTTGTTATGGTTTGGGGTGCTAGGGGGGGGTGCATGGTTAGAAAATGGAAATGGTCATAACTAACTCTTTAAGGGCCTTAAGGGGTTTGGGTCTCGGGCTGAGATTTTTGCGCCCCCTGCCTTCTAACGTCGCCGGAGCCAAGAGTGACGATTATGATGCCGAAACTGCGCTTGCGAATGACTCACCAGCCTCTTCGTGAGAAGCGAAGACAGGCGAACGCCACCCCGGACAACTTCGGAACGGAGACGCCGCGCGCGGAGAAGCTCAAGCCGCTTTCCAGGCCTCTAGATCCGAAACTGAGACCCAAAGACCCGCTCCAACTTGAGTTCAGCGTGCTGCAGACCCCTCCAAACTCGAGTCCCGTTGTCCGGGGTTGTGTGATGTGCCGACCCGACATCATAGCTGAATCATCCTTGGCGGCAAGTTGGGGACTGTAAAGGCAAATAGAAGCAATGAAGGATGTTCGAACACTCCCGACAGGCCGCCGACTCCAGACAAGACTCCCAGACGGCGTCTTATTGACGGAGGTTCCTGGGGCTCCGAGCCAGCCAGTTGCCGTGGTCGAGGTTGGGTAGTTTAGGATTTACTTTCCGTGGGCCTTGGCTTCGTGCTGCTCGAGACACTTCCGGCACATGTCGGCTTCGGCCAATCAGCCACAATGCCCCCGAATCACAATGCAGGAGGTCTTGCAGGGACAGGCGCTGTAATTGTTGTGTTCTTGGAAGTCCAAGCGCGATCCGGTACAAGTTTGGTTGCCAGACCCAACAGCTTTGTGATGGGTTGCCTCCTCAGAATTCGAACCTGGCGTAAGGTCCGGAGAAGCTGCAACAACTGCAGCCGCTCCACGAAAGATCACAAGCGGAAGCTGAAGAGCCCAAAGAGGAGACAGAGCCGGCCGGCAAAGTACCGTCAGGACCCTGTCCGACTTTTCCTGCTTTGGCTTAACATCTGCATGTTTGTCTATGCTATCGATGCTGTGCCAAGGCCAAAGCCCTGGAGCCCCAGGATGCCTGCAAAGTCCAGGCCAGGCAACCTTTCCCTTCCGATGCTGTGCAGGAGTTGAGTTGAGGTATTTCAGGGTCTCTAGCTCATGGTTGAGACCCGGCAGAACCAGCAGCGCGATGTCAGAGCGGCTTGAATGCTTCCTAATGCCCCACCAAGCAAGCCCAAAGTAGTTCCTATCACCGGAGAGCATGCCATGTCCATGCCAAAGAATCCGAGTAACTCCATCGTGCACATCAAAACTCCCGGATTGTCTTGGTCGAAGGCAGGGGCCTCCGAATGACAGCCCGACTGGAAGGTTGTCACCGCTTACGGCTCAGTGTCTCATGTGCCGGCTTCGAAGTCCAAAGCTTTGCCACACCGATATGACATTTCATGCTCGAACTTTCCATTTTGCTCGGCTGTGCATCTTGTTTCTGTCCTGGCTGAGTCGCCGCAGGCCAGATGCAAAAAAAGCTTTGCACGCACTGCAAATGCAAATGCGCACGTTTGAACACAGACACATGCGCACAAAGACCTGCATGCTTGTATGCAGAGATACATGCCTGCATGCATGCGCCTATCCGTCCGTCTGTCCGTCCGTGCATGCATGCATGCAGAGAGAGAGAGAGAGAGAGAGACCGACAGAATGTTAGTTGCATCTTTCCCATCGTTCGTCCGCTGTGATCTTCCTTAAGGGAGAACAAGAGTGCACACCCCTTCTGCAAATCACTCGCGAGGTTTGACATCAGTAACAGGCGGGGGATTTTCGCACATATTGTACCTAGTTGACCCCCATACAGATGTCAAAACATAATTCAGGCGTCCGTGCACAGCTGTCATAGTTCGAGTCTCGGGGGACACTTATGAGTTTCATAGTATCCCAAATCCAAGCTGTCCAACTTATCCAAAAATATCCACAAATATCCGAAACTCGAACGAACTTTCACACCCCCCGAAAGCCTCATAACATATGGGGGGCCAATAGGCCGGGGGGCCTGACCCGTCCCCTATGCCCTGGGGAAGAAGAAGAAGAGACCGACAGACAGACAGACATAGCATGTGCGAAGGTAGTGTTGTCTTCCTGTCTTGGGAGAGCTCGTGTCACATAGACCCATCGGGCAACTATGCAGACAAAGCCTATTGTTCCTTTGTCGCCAAACAGTCGTGCAACATGCAAAGTGACAGAGAAATGTAACTTTTCACTGAACATTCTCTTTCGTCTAGCATCTGTTGTCATTGATATCCATAATATCCGTAGCCACAGCTGGTTGCTATCATTTCATACTTTGTGCCTGCGAAATGCTTAATTCATCGGACTGGCGGTTGTGTTTGCAAGTCCCTCACCTTGACTGTGACTGCGATAGCCGACTTCATAGATTCTAAAGTTTAGAACCACAGACAGCTATTTTTCGTGGAATCTTTGAGGCCGTCGACGGATCGGGCGAGCCCGGAGACCTTTCCGCGGCCGCTGCCCCGCATGGCAGCCACCTTGCTGCCTAGCGTGCGGCCCAAGTCGGCGACTCTTAGCCTTCGTCAATAGCACATTTTATCGTACCGTTTCGGTATAGTCTTCTCTATTCTAGCACCTTTTTGGTATACCATAGTGTAGTATATCATCGCGTATTGTACTAGAGTATGCTGTAGTGTACTTTGGCATTTTTAAAGTTTGAGAATATGTATGAATATGTTATGCTTCTATTGGTACCCGCCTGTCTTCCCGGCTTATCCTGCGATGACGATCATCGACATGACCATGACCATGGCGATGACAATCAGAGATGGTGGCAGGAGTTCTGATGACGATGACGATGACAATGCTGCTTCCTCTGGCGGTCTCATGAGGTCTCGGGCTCTCTTCTCGTGCCAGGAAGCCTGTCCAAAAGGCGGTGGCGTTCAACTGCTCGACCCCACGGCCCATGACCTGCGGTGTGTGAGGCATGTGAAGACTTGTTCTGGGAGCACAGTGGGGCATATAAAGATGTCACTTTGGATGAGGCATGTCCCAGCAGCATCAAGCCGGTGCTTGTATCCCGCATGGCTCAAGCCCATCTCACAGTCTCATCATGGGCGGCAGTGGATTCAGCAGCAGAGTCACGTTCTTGCTGCGAGGGAGGCTTCAAGTGCGGTGGCTGTAGGGACTTGCATTTTTCTGAGGCTTCCGAGGGGTTCTTCAGCCATGGCTGAGCCATGGAGGGGCCTCCTCCACCAGCTCTCTACGGAACTGGAGCGCCAGTCCGCTAAATTGCGGGATCTGGAGCTCCAAAACAAACGACTTCTCGCGCCTTCGCTTGACTCGTTCACACGTGTTTAGCTAACCCTGGCGGGCTGACAGAGTGTAGCAGTGTAGCATGATTGCCAGACCACATCATGCAGCACAATCAGACTCGGGATTCGAGCCTGATAAGGAAGCGGCAGCCCTTCCGGTCGAGATGTCTGAGATGCCGCCTATCGTGCAGTGCGACCTCCAGTCCCCTCCGGGCCCTGAGAGGCCAGGAGGGGATGTCCGAAGATCTAGAAGGAGCCAACAGGATGAGGACGAAGATGAAGTCACTGGCCTGAAGACCGCAGCTTGGCCATAAACAGCAGGGAGTTGGAAGGATCGAGACATGTCAGGGCCTGCAGCTAAGGACACGATCCTTCCACATCCGCACCGGCAGAGCAAAATTTCCGAGATCTCTCAGATTGCCTTAGTCCAGCCTCGGAGGAACTCCCGGGTGTCAAAGCTCATCGAATCCCAGCAGGTTCGCTTCATGATCATGCGTGCGCAGAGGACCCGAGAGTTTGGCGTGCCTGGCAGTGGGTTCAGTGAGTTTTCGCTTTTGATCGCCTTCTTAGGGCCACTCTTCGGCAGCTCTGCAAGCTTTGAGAGAGAGAGAGGGAGATCTCCTGGAGATGAGGTGAAGAAGCAGTGGTTCGTCATCAACCCCGACACCAACCCTTTTTCGACGGCCTGGCAGATCGTCACCAATTTCGCCCTCGCCTTCGTGGCCTTGATCACTCCCCTGCAGGCCAGCTTTGCCTTGTTATGGTCACGTTAACACTGTGGTGGCGGTGGTTGTGCATAGACACGTGTGATGTGCGTGGGTGTGCGTATGTGTGTGTGTTATATATATATGTGTGTGTGTATGTATATGTATATATGTATATATATATATAACTATATATATATGTACTTTTTTAAAATGAGTGTCTCTGTGTGTGTGTGTGCGCGTGCGTGTGTCGTGCGGTCGTGCGTATGCAAAGAAAGCCTCCCCAAACGCTCCCACAGAGCCCTCTGAAGCGCTTTAGGGAAAGGGGCCCCAAACGCGAGCCAGCTCCCACAGAGCCCTCTAGAGAGGGGTCCCCAATCGTGCACCGGCTCCCACACAGCTCTCTAAAGCCTCTTACGGGAGAGCTTACGGCGCAGACGGGTCCCCAATCGTGCGCCGGCTCCCACAGAGCCGCTTAAGGCCTCTACGGGAGGGTCCCACAGACGCGCTCGCACATAGCCTCTAAAGCCTCTACAAGACAGGGGGTCCCCAAACGCGCGCCGCTTCCCTGTGTATGCGGCGTGGGTGTATGTGTGGCATGGTGTGGGGCAGCCATGCGGGGCGGAGCGGAGCGGGGCGTGGCGGGACACCGGCCAAAAGCAAGAAAACACACACAATGTGCTGTAAGATATTATCTGAGCGGGAGTTTGCTTCATGACATCGTTTGCCATGGTAAATGCAGTCTGCCGAGATTTGCGTGATTGAGCTGCCACAAGTGCCACCGTGACTGCCGCCGTTGCCAAATTACCAAGTCAGACTGAGACTGCCACCGTATGCCTTCAATTCCTTCTTTCTTGGCATCGGAAGGCAAGCCCAAAGCCCTTCCAAAGCCCTTGAGCCTGTTAGGTCGGCTTGCTGGAGATCCACCTGGACTTTCTCTTCGTGCTCACCATGATGGTCGACTTCGTCTTTGTCATCGACATGATTCTGCAGTTCGTCACGATGTACCCTCGGACGACAGCGCGTGGGTTGGAGTGGGAGCTCAATCCGCAGAAGATTGCCATGAACTACTTGAGGACAGCGTCTGTCTGCAGGGTGAGGGATGAGCAAGCCTCCTGAGCACCCTGGATTACTGCACAGCCCTAAACCAAGCTTTTACTATTTTGGCTCAAGTCAATCACCCCCCCAGCCTTGCCCACCGATGGGCGGCAAAGAAGCTGCAGTCACTATGGCGGCAGTTGAAGAGGAGCCACGTGTGCTGCCTTTCTACGGACATCGGAAAAGCACCGGCTTAGCGGAGTTCAGCAACTTCTTCGAGCTCCAGAAGCCGTATGAATTCGTGCTTCCGCGATTCGCCCAGAGGGAAGGATTCCCGAAATCCTTCGAGTGCTGGTTCTCGGAGGCATCCATCATGGCTATCAAAGCTGCACTCTTTGGCGACAAAGAGACCTTCGACAAGATCCTGAAAGCCCAGAGTCCGGGTCAGGCAAAAGCCTTGGGTCGTCAGGTCCAGGGCTTTGACGAAAACGTGTGGCTGAAGCACTTGGAGGAGACAGCTTACGAGGTCGTCTTGCAGAAGTTCAGATCCGACCCGCGCTTAGCGACAGTTCTGCTGAAGACTGGGAACGCTGTGATTGTGGAGGCTGCGCCGGGCGATCGGATTTGGGGCGTGGGCCTTGCTACAAGTGACCCGCGAGTCTACGACCCGGAGCAGTGGCAGGGTCGGAACATCCTCGGCTTCGCGCTGATGAAGGCGCGCGATGCACTCAAGTCGCCCGCGGTGCCAACGGGTGAAGCGAGCGAGGAAGCCCCGGCTGAAAGCAAGACGAGGAGGTGGGGCTCCAAGAAGGGCGAGGCTGCGACGTGGCCGGCAAAGAAGCAGGCCGAAGCGGCTTTGCCATGGGACTGCTTTGCAGTGCTGGACTTCGAGGCTACTTGCGAGAACAACGTGAAGCTGGATCCGCAGGAGATCATTGAGTTCCCCTTGGTCCTCGTGGATGCACAGACCTTGGAGCGTGTCGACGAGTTCCGCACCTACGTGCGACCAGAGAGAAACCCGAAGCTGACACAATTCTGCACTGAGCTCACAGGTATCCTGCAAGAGCAAGTTGATGCCGCTCCCGTGTGGACTGAGGCTCTGAAGCAGGCCCAGAAATGGCTACGCAAGCGGTCCTATGGCAGGTGCTTGCTGGTGACCTGTGGCGACTGGGACTTACGCCAGATGATGCCAGCTCAATGCAAGCTGCACGGCGAAGCCGTGCCGGCAGACTTTCTTCACTGGCTGAACATCAAGATCCTGTTCGAACAGGTCACTGGCAAGCGGAAGACAGGTATGGCTGGCATGCTGACAGAGTTGGAGATGACCCTAGACGGTCGTCATCACTGCGGCCTGGACGATTGTCGGAATATCGCCCGCATCCTCCAAGAGCTCCTGCGGCGTGGTGGCGACATTCAGGAAGGTATGATATCGACGCTGAAAGCCAAAAAGGCAGGCTACTCCTCTACACCAGGCTAGCTTGGACGTGATAGCGTGGGCCTTGTTGCGGGGCTGAAGTCTGATGGCTCCTTCCCCAAAACTTGGGCGTGGGCGGGGGTCCGCCTGCAGCCATCACGGTGCCGACAGCTGCCTCACATGTACAGACGCTCGTGATGTAGGTGGTTTCAGGGTTCCCAGTGGCCCAGCATGCCAGAGGAGTCATAGCCTTGCGGGTTTCAGGGCTCAGGGTTCAGGGTTTAGGGAGGCAATACATCCACAAACGCACCAGCGGTGAGCACTTCAGTGCTTATGGCTTCTTGAACACTGGGCACTGCGGATGCTATTCTGTACAGTTCCGGTCGCGAGCGAAAATGAGTCACCAGTCCTTTGTCAAAACAAGTCCCTATGTCTGGCAGCAGCTGTATTGCAGCGTTCAACATCAGTGGAGAGTGGAGCAACGGCTTCACTAACAGAAGCCGTGAGCCTGATTCGTATTGGTGGTTATGGTTTTAGATGGTTCTGGGTTACTCTATGACGATGCTCGGGCTTCCCACGCGGGACGGAATTGTGTGGAGCCTTCCCTGCCTGGTGCGAGTGTGAGAGTCGAAACCAAGGTGTTAATTAGTTGAAATACCCGCTAGTACTGAAATGTATTGAACGAACCATGAACCCTGTAAACTTGTGCAGCTACTGCGCATACTGAAAAGCCCTTATTATTACTTATTAGAGTATTGCGGACCGTGCACAGGGAAAGTTTAATAGCCCGGGATCGATTAATTTGTGGTTTGCCAGAGGGCATGGTTTTGTGCCACTGATCAACTTAGCCCTCGGACGACTGATCTGGCGTGAGACTTGGACATAGAGCCGAAGGCTGCAACAACAGGAATAAGTGCAAACTGTCACTACTGCTGCATTGTCCCTGTCGGTTTAGAAGTTTAGATTTGAGAGTCACTGCAAACCAGATGCAAAAAGATTTGTGACTTGAATCGGTGATTGTTATGGTCGGCAACTTGCTATTCACTACTGCACACACGCGCCCCTTCCCTCGCTTTCGACAGGCTACGTGTGGAGTGCGTGCGGGAATAGCCGGCCTCGTCAGTCCATATTATTATAGTGACATGGTATACTGCAATATCATAGGCTGGAGATTCCTCTCTTCGCCCTCCATCGCGGAACTATGACCCCTCAAAGCCCGAAGTCCTATCGCTAGGAGACTAAGTGGGAGGCAGAAAAAGGAACCATCACTCACATCCGAGTATGAGTGCTACCGCCGAAACCCGTCTAGGTCCGAAACCCAAGCCAATGGAGCTGGTCCCTTTGGGGGGGCCTTAGTTATATACTCCGGCAAGCTGCCATGAGGACCTGGTTCTTCCTAGACTTCGTGACTTTGATCCCCTTCGACATGATCGGAGTAACCTCCGGCACAGATAGCCTGAAGGACACGACTGATGTGAAGCTTGCGTGGTCGTGTCTTGGCCACGCCGTGTCGTCCTCGCCGTCCTTGTCACTCTCGTCGCTGTTGATGTCGCAACCGCCGCCGTCGTCGATGTCGTCGTCACCATGCATCGGCGTCATGGTGTCGTCGGCGTCGTTGTTGCTCTTGGTCAGGTCGGTGTTTTTTGCCATGCCCCGTCGCATTCTAATTTTGGTTCCTGGCATAATAATAGTTGCATGCAGCTGGTAGGGCTTCACAGAATTTAGGAAGGTTGTGGTAGCCGCACGCCCAGATGTCGAATTTTCTTCCGTGACAATGTAGGGCGGACAAGTATGGTGCCTGCCAGAAAGGGCAACGAGGAGGTAGTTCAGTTTGGCAGAATCCAGATCTCAAGCCCTGATGCCCACCCTCCGAACCATTCCGAACCAAAATCCGAAAGCATGAAAAAACTAGAATTACTCCAAGACCAAACTTCTAGGACCTGCGGAGCATTAAAGTAATCCGCGTCCTCCGGCTCCTGAAGCTCATGCGGCTGCTGCGGAGCTCTCGATTGAGCCTGGGTGATTGGGAGTTTGTGGTTGTCGGCTTTGGGTTCTTGGGTTTAGCATGGTAGGGTTTCGCTTGCCTTTTTCTTGCATCAGCATTGCACGTAGGGGGGTTCCAAATTCAGTTGGAGCCTGCAGGTTAAAAGATGGGCTTCGCTCGGAGGGGTAGGCATGTTTCCGTCTCAGCGGTCCGCATCCCACTCTCATCATACTGTACCTATCTTTTCGTTCGCACCAAATGCCCAGCTAAGCAAACCGTTCCTGGCCTTTTCTATTGGCTTTTTGCTCAAGGTCTCATGCGACCAGGCAGGACGCAGTTTGCCTCAGTGCTGTTTGTGGTCCAAGGGTCTAATGTTTGATGTTGTTGATCCTGCGGGCAGGCATATCACAAGAAGGCCGGTGCTACTTTAAGAAACGGCCATCCGGGTTTTAAGCTAGGGAATCGGCACTCAGCCATAGCGATGCTGGATGACAACAGCAGGCTGCAATTTGTCCGTGATCAACGACTGTCTGCCTTGGATAGGGCACGAACGCTTTCAGAACAGCTGGCCACAAAGGTAAGACTCCTGCAAGAAGCGACAGCGAAGCACGAAAGGGAGGCTGCAGAACGCCTCGATACTCTAGCAGCTGGAAGGGCATCAGCACAGGCACGCAGCCGTGCCTTGGCGACAGGGCTGACTGAGACGAAAGAAGAGGTTGCTAGTTTGAAGTGGCGCGTGGGTGCCCTGCAGAGCCTTCTGGACGTGCAACCGCGTAGTTCGGCTTTGCCGCGTGGAGCATCCGCAGCCGGAGGGCACGGAGGGCATGATCGGCACCCGGATGCCACTGCATCTCCGTCTGTTGAGTTCCTCCGTTCTAGGTTGGCAGCACTCCGACAACGGCGCTCAGAGCATGAGGATCTTCGCCGTAGCTGCCAAGACGAGTGCCAGGGCCTCCAGCGTCGCCTTCAGGCCGCACAAGCGCAAGATCCCCAGAAAACAGCACATCTCAACAATGAGAGCATCTCTTTGACAAAGGAAGCGCTCCGAGCCTTTGCACATGGAGCCGTGGCCACCTGGGTTCGGGAACTGGAGGACTTGGAGAAGCAATGCTCGAGACGCACTGCCGCAATCGAAGCAAGTCTCCGGAAGGTTCAGGACATGGCCTCAGGCAGTGTAAGAGCAACACCTTGCTGGCCCTCCTCGCAGGGTCGTGAACGTTTGCCCATGGCCGAGACACTGCTGACCACTTTTGAAGCGGCAGCAAAGGATTGCAGGACCCAGGCATCACATGAACTTGCGACGCTTCACCGGGCCATTGTCTTGTGGAAAGCAGCGACATGTGCGGTAGTGGATTCACCTCGAGAGGAAGCGCACGAAGCATGCGCCATCCGAGAAAAGTGTAGACACGGATCCCGTTTGTTGCTGGGCGTAGGCTGAAAGCCTCCATCTTGCAGCTGAGGACGCACCGGCTCGAGATCCCGCTGTCGATCCCGTACCAACAGGCGAGAAGGTTGTCCTATCAATATTATCATGTGCCCTCTCGGCTGTCTGATGCAGGTAGCACTCTTCCGTTTCCTCCTCATCTTAGTCCTGGCCTGCCACTGGCTGGCCTGCGTTTGGGCGATGACGCTGAAGATCGTCGATGCCAGGGCCTCGAGACATGACAAACACCTTGTTCAGTGTAGTTACCGCTTGGAGTCGACAACGTTTTCGGAGCTTGTTGCATGCAGAGGGGGAGGATAGTAGCACGGGGCACCCGTGGTACTTGTACTGAAGCTTGAAAGAAAAGTGGCATGACGCATGGGTGAAGGACACCTTCCCGCAATGGATCAACGACATCGAGGCAGCCGACGTGCCCTATGGGATTCGCACCCGGGACTCTCCTATGCGCATCTACATCGCTGCGTACTACTTCTGCTGCTACACCATGACATCAGTGGGCTATGGAGACAACGGCCCCAAGAATGTGCTGGAGCGCTTGGTTTGCACATGGATTGTGCTGACCTCGGGGCTCTCCTGGGCATACATTCTCGGAGAAGTCTGCGCCATCGTCAGCGAGATGACGGCAGAGGGTCAGAGGTTCAGAAAGAAGATGCACCACCTGAATTCCTTGATGCAAGAGCAGGGGCTTCCACCCGAGCTTCGAAAGCGCATGCGCAGCTTCTTTCTTCAGAACCGGCATCAAGCAGAGCACCAAACCCGGCAGAAACTCTTGGAGAATCTGAGCCCCCAGCTGCATGCTGAGGTCTGCACGGCGCTGAACATGCCATGGATTGAGAAGGTCTCCTTTTTCCAGCAGTTCATGTCTCTGATAGATGCTCTAGAGGCAGATGGAGCCCACACCGCACCGTTCCGTGCATGCATTGCAGACATCTCTCGAGAACTTCAGACCGCCGCCTTTGCACAGAAGGAGATCTTTGATAATGTGCAGGTGCTCTACATCCTCTCCAAGGGCCTGGTGGCTTTGAACAGTCGGGTGGGTCACAACGGGGCGGTATGGGGGGAGGACTTCGTCCTCTCGGACACGAGCCTGATCCGGCCAGTGGCTGGCTTTGCACTCACGTGACTTCGTCGGCTTTGGCATCTTCTTTGCTTCTTTTGAAGCTGCGGCAGCCTGCGATCCAACCACCCCCGAATACCTAGAAGGCCGTGTGTGCCAGGCTCGTGAAATAGAGACAGTATATACTCCTCCCCCAAACAGGCCAGAGACCGAATCCCAGAACTCCGAACGTCTCGCAGGTAATCTCAGAACTCAGGGAAAACCCTAAACTTCCTGAACCCTAAACCTTCAACTCGGACGGAACCTGCCATGCCTGCGAGCGCGAGGGTGTGAGTCGAAACCTTCAACTATTCTCTGACTGTACCCTGCAATGTGGGCTCGTCCTAGCTAGGAACCCTAAACCGTCTAGGTAGGAGGCAGAAAAACCCTACAGAGGTACATCGAGGTGCTCTTCCTTACCCGCGAGAGCTTCATGGGAGTGATCGAGCGCCGGAAGTTGACTTGCCCTCAGCTGGGCCAGGTCCTGGGCCCGGCCCCCCAAAAGGTATAATTTCTGTAGAATCGACTCTGTAGGCGATCTTAACTAGTTGGTCATGACATACATATACATATATATATATATTTATTTATTTTTTGTCTTTAATTTATCTATTTGCTTATTTATTTGTTTATTTATATGCATATGTGGTTCTAATATGCTATGGTCTTTTATTTCTTGTTTTGTATTGTGCAAAACTGCCTCGTGCATCGGTCTTTGACTTTTGAATCCGAAGAATGCGAGAATAAGCCACGGATGAGTATTCAGTATTCGTGTTCAGTTCTGAAGCATACATTTCAGCTCTCCTGCTGGGATAACACGATCAGGGAAGAAGGCTTCGGAGATCGAGGTTGCTTTTTTTGAATTTGGTTTGGATCGACTGTTCCGCATTCCTCTCGTAAGGATTTCTGAAGGAACTCGAATATAGAGAATGTCGGGTGAAGGTTTCGAGTGTATTTACAATACCTACTTCTAGGGACTCTAGTGTGCATGTTGTCATGATTTGTTATTTGGAACGCTGTTGCTGCTTGCCATTGCTGATGCGGCTGCTGCTGCTGCTGCTGCTGCTGCTGCTGCTGCTGCTGCTGTCGTACGTTCAGTTTGCTTTCTGCCGGTCTTGCTTCCTGGTTGAAACATCTTGCGAAACCCGAAATGCTGCTACAGATGCTGCTACATGGGTGTTGGTAAAGCACCCAGTGGATTGAAGTGTTTTTGTTTTGTGTGTGTTGTTTCTGCTTGCGCCTTTCCATTCCGCAGATGCTGCACCTAAACAGTGGCGTCCATCAACCATCGACAGTTCGACTTGTCGCCTTTGCTGCAAACGGCCGCTTTTACAACATGAGACACAAGAGCTGGGCGCACGAGTGCGACTCAGAAATTGCGAACGGAAGATTGCGCTAGCAGGGCAGCTGCCTTTGCCGCTACGACGACGACGCTGTGCAAATAGTGACGACACAGCAGCAATCATCACAGTACAACAGGTGCGTCGCGAAAATGAGTGTAGTACTCGTAGAGACGATCAAAGCAGTGACCGGACAAAGAAAAGGACAAGAAGAGTCAAGGATGTTCACGCTTCGCCTTGCAAAGCCCCCTGCAAGGTGGTCAGGCGCTACTGCGTGCGCGTCGCTGTCACTCGGGGCATCATTGCAGAAGCAAGGTGCGCATAGAGAAACAAGCTAAGGGGATGTCTAGGGATAACTAGAGGACTCAGGGCTCAAGGGCAGTCCGCATCCCGGCAGGCGGCGCCTGCAGCTGAGGGCAGGCACCCCTTCCAGCGTGGCCAAACGAGTGCCTTTTTTGAGCAATTGGTTTCGGGGCGAGAGGCTGGTGTACATTCTTTCTCATGAGCCTGCAACATCAACCCTCCCTGACAAGCAAAGAAGCTAGACCGCGAACACTTTGGATGCTTCGCTACTGTAAAGACTTGTCCTTGCGCCTGAAACTGTGGAATCTTGCCTCAGCAAGAAAACCCCAACACCCTGCTGTGAGCCCAAACGCATCCCAGCGCCTGCTGCCTCCCAAGCCAAGGTGCAGGGCAGCCAACAGACGCAGGGCTCCTCTGACAGTGCCCCGCAGCCCCCGGGCTTCCTAGAGCCCGAGGACTGAGTCGGCTTCAGGTTTAGGCCCGATTTGGGCTTTCGGGAGAGCGCAAAAAAAAGCCTGGGGGGCGCCAGATGCAAGCCAGAGATTTGCAGGGCTCTCCCAAACTAGTCTTTCAAAAAGTAGCTGGCATTCTATCAGTAGGAGCCTAGAAGCAGTATTTGGCACTGAGCAAAGCTTTGACTCGGACCCTTTTGCCCCGACCGGGCCACGTCTGAGCGATCAGAAGTCGATGTAGGTGGGGGGCGTCCTGCATGCATTCATATGGATTGTAAAACGGCTTTTGGATAAGCAGATGGTGTTGGACCTCTTGGGGGGTATACATCTATGTCTTACAAGTTACTGGATACAGGCCGCCGGACTTATGTTGATGGCCCATTAGACTAATCATGTGGGATCCAAGCAGTCCCCATCTTTTTCTCAGCGCTGCGAGCCTGCCTCAGCAGAATTCGTGAGTTTTGCACGCCGCGCAGCGCCACCTGTGTGCACGTGGGAATTCGTCGGGAATTCAGAGCTTGCAGATTTTGCACGTGCTCCTTCTGCCGCAAAAACTCTCTGACTCCCCGGCCCGGTCCCGACCATTGGGCCATGCCTTGGCCCCACAAGGCGAGGTTGTTTTTTACAGCCGGGGATGTGACCTGCTGGCCGCAGCCGTGTTTCGTTAGCTTCCTTCTAGCCCGGGACAAGTGATACGCACGAATACAGCTGCTGTTTCTCAAAAGTCTTATTTAATAAGTATTTATACTGGTAGGTGGTCCCTGGGCGAGAGCTCCGATGCATGCTGCATGCACCCATCCTGGGTCTGGGCGTAAAACTCGACAAAAAAAAACGGTATCACACATCTAAAGACAACAGACCTGGCTGGATATCCGCGACTTCTCGAGCATCTCGGCGAAAAGAGGCGCAGTCGACCGGTAAGGCCGTGGGAACGTAATTTAGGAAGGCATGTCGCATCGCATGAACTTTGCCAGTGCTGCGGATCATGATCCGGTGGTTCGGTGGTCTTGCGTTGGCCGTTATTGTCGCATCGGAAAGACGCAGCAGGTCACGAGCACACAGTATACTTCACAAGCACATGCAACGACCGGCATTTCAGCATGAGCTCCGGGCATCCCTGTCACGCCGTTATGACGAAGATGCCGACGAGTTTGTTTTCGTAAGCAGGGCGGGCAGAGCGCACGTACATTCTGCCACAATGGCAGCGAGGATCAGGATGCAGCCTTGTACTCGTCTCAGCGCTGATCAGTTTCCTGCCAGTGTAGTTGTTTGGCCGGAGGATGCGGTGTTGTAGGGCTAAGCTACCTGCAGGCAACAGTGCAAGAAGAGAGGGGCCCGATGTGATTTTAAGAGAGCCGTGGGAGGGGGGCACTACGCAACGATCCAGCTTCATGTTTGTTGTGGTGTTCTTGAGAACGAATGTTCCGGCCTAGATACCAGAAAACGAACTGTAACAGAACAGACGCCCAAGAAGACGATGCCGTGACATCTCCAACGAAAGCTTCCAGAAGAGTCCGGTAACACATGAGGACGTGAGTGGGGCTCGCATCTCGGCGCTTGTGTTGTTAAATAATTGTAGACGCCTGAAGGAAACTGCGACGCTGTCATGGAACCTTTGCTCCATTTCGTCAACAGATGTGCACATGCTCATTCTGGCAGCGCTTGGCTATTTCGCCATGAAAATGCTTTTTTCTACGATCGTTACACATTCGCCGCAACTCTTGTAGAAATCCGCTTGAACCCATGCTGACACCTTAGGGGGTAGCTCCCACTGCTTCACGGCAGCTCTGCAACCTCTGGGGCTGTTCCCGATTTCGTCTTCCTTAGGGTTGCTAGGAATCTTGAGACGGGATCTCAAAGTTGTAAACTTTGTAAACTTCCCTGTCGCAACATCCAAAGCCAGCTGTTGAACATCCTTGCCTGGCAGTGTCGAGCTGCGAGAGATTGAGCCCGCAGCCCTATAGATGGCCTTGTGAACTTGTCAACTACTCGATATGCATGTGGCCTTGAGCAATGTGGAATCCGTTTGTCTGCCAACCCCAAGACCGTATCAGCGCCGAAGCCCCGCAACCCTCAAACACCACGACCCTGAAGCCCTCAATTAAAAAGAGTCTTGAAACCCCAATGCTAAATCTAAGGAAAAGCAACCTCTAAGACTCCAACCCGAGGTCTCCTCCTGAGACTCGGGCGGCTGCGCGAGGCCAAGGCTCTGGAGCTGTGCTAACACCAGGCCCCGAAACCTCAAATCTCAAGCCATAGAGCGTAACATCAAAGGTCATCAAGACTAGTGACAGTAGCCTCTTCCAGTCTCTTTGTCTTTGTATCATGATCTGCCCGACAAGTCTTCTGATAATGAATGCCGAAGGCCTTCGACACCATCTTTGAACATGCGAGTCTTCGAGTTGTGAATCGCCAAGCTGAGCTTCAATTAGGCTTTCGCCGAGAGGAGCCTTCAGCGCCTGAAATTTAAAGCTTGCTGCCCGAATCGCCGAAGGCCGTAAGCTGCCTGCCGCGCTTTCTTGCGCTGGAAGCCCAGTCTTTCAGAGTGGAGGCCATACTATACTATACTATACTATACTGTACTATACTGTACTGTACTATACTGTACTATACTATACTATACTATTCAATGAAAGAATGTGACCGCCTTCACCATCCATCGCCTTCGTGGAGGTGTGGGAAAACGGCTCTTCGTCATTACATTCAACCCGTTGAAAATGGGCAGGCCGACATGAGAGCGAGAGCAGGCATGGTAGAGTTTTGATTTGCGGCAAGTCATGGTGTGTTGCCCTGTCCCGAATCTTCCCTAATGCCAGAAGTATAAGGGCGTGCAAAGCCTTATGCGCTCGAAGCTCTACTGGGCATACTGAGCCTAGTGATCGGTGTTGTTACGGCAACACCAACTTCCGAGGCACACTGCGCCAACAGTGGCAATACCGCTGCCAAACGCAGCCAGACGGTTCCAGGCCGACCTCGTCGATCAGCCACTGCAGCTCGTGTATCCTTCTAAGTCCGTCATATATTACAGCAAGACTCGGTTCTAAGTGTTCCGGCCCCTACAGAAGCGTCAGGTCCAGTATCCTATGTGCTGCTTTCAAAGAGCCAGGCGACTGCCACAAGCAAGGCCATGAAAGCACGCCCCTCAAGAGCGTGGCACTGCGTGCCCTGCGATGTCCTGCATCCAGCAGTGTGGACTTACCAGCGGAGTACTGGCTTCACTAAGTACAGGTTTTAGAATGTTTTGGACTTTCGACTTTCCATCTGTCATCTTATGAACCGGTGCGTGGTGAAAGTTGCGCTGGACAGTGGATCATGTCGTCCACAATTAAAAGCTTCGAATTGCAGAACATTGCCATTGTAGATGTGTTGCAGCCATTCGCATCGCTCGCGCCGAGACTGTTGAAGAAGAGCTGCTGGAATACGACGAAGACGAAGAAGAAGCGGAGGAGGACCAGCTTCGCATTCTGCCGTCCTACATGCGATTGACCTTGAATCTCACACACCAGGACACAGTAGCTGCAGAATTCGCGAAGAGCCTTAATTGTCAACGATCTCCGTACTCTTGGGAACACCCTTTGGGACGACCGTGGTTCATGGATGGCTAGCTGAGAGGGCGCCCCTCTATCAGTCGTCGCAGCTATGGAACATTATGGAACGAGCCCGTACTGGATTTTTGACGGTTGCCCTGGCTTTGCTGAAAGTGAGCGCATTGGGAAGCAATGTAGGGGTAAGAACTACCAAGAATATGCCCTTATAATGGTCCCGGTATACTTGCGCTAGGCTATGCCGCAGAGCCATCTTCCAACGAATGCTTTTTGCAATCCTCGACCTGTGCCCGAAGGATGAGTCACTGCTGCCCCCTTGGCGGCAGCCATGAGCTCGGGCGGAGGATGTTCCTTCGTGATGATTCTTCCTTCCTTTCCATGCATTACCTGCTGCTGCTTCCCAAGATATCTTTCAGCTAGCACAAGCGCAGGACTGCTCCCGCCC